TTCTTAATGTAGTTGCGCTTTGCTTTATGTAGTTGCGCTTTGCTTTATGTAGTTGCGCTTTGCTTTATGTAGTTGCGCTTTGCTTTATGTAGTTGCGCTTTGCTTTATGTAGTTGCGCTTTGCTTTATGTAGTTGCGCTTTGCTTTATGTAGTTGCGCTTTGCTTTATGTAGTTGCGCTTTGCTTTATGTAGTTGCGCTTTGCTTTATGTAGTTGCGCTTTGCTTTATGTAGTTGCGCTTTGCTTTATGTAGTTGCGCTTTGCTTTATGTAGTTGCGCTTTGCTTTATGTAGTTGCGCTTTGCTTTATGTAGTTGCGCTTTGCTTTATGTAGTTGCGCTTTGCTTTATGCAGTTGCGCTTTGCTTTATGCAGTTGCGCTTTGCTTTATGCAGTTGCGCTTTGCTTTATGCAGTTGCGCTTTGCTTTATGCAGTTGCGCTTTGCTTTATGCAGTTGCGCTTTGCTTTATGCAGTTGCGCTTTGCTTTATGCAGTTGCGCTTTGCTTTATGTAGTTGCGCTTTGCTTTATGTAGTTGCGCTTTGCTTTATGTAGTTGCGCTTTGCTTTATGTAGTTGCGCTTTGCTTTATGTAGTTGCGCTTTGCTTTATGTAGTTGCGCTTTGCTTTATGTAGTTGCGCTTTGCTTTATGTAGTTGCGCTTTGCTTTATGTAGTTGCGCTTTGCTTTATGTAGTTGCGCTTTGCTTTATGTAGTTGCGCTTTTCTTTATGTAGTTGCGCTTTTAGATTTGTAGTTGCAGTTTGCACTTCAGGAACACCGTATATATCTGATGTTTGCCAGTTTCAACTAAACACAGTGATTTCACAGAGCCAGCCAAATTTCCTTTAGTCGAAGAGCAGAACAAGAGGCACAGCACCGATAGCTCGGCAGAGGTGGACGGCCACGCCCTGCTCTGGAGCCAAGGGTGCTGAAAATGGCAGATTGGAACAAGACCCTGGTCACAGGTGGTTGGCTGTGCTACGCTCTGGAGCTAAAAGAGGTTGATAGTTGATTAAACAGTTTTTCTGTCTTCCATTTTGTTAAAAAAAAAAGAAAGGTCTGTCTTCTGCTCTCCTTTACCTTACGTAACAGTCACATCCATTTGTAGAGACGGGACAAGACGCAAAAAGCTGATTAACAGGCTTTTGGTCTACTGCAATCATTATAACCAGCTGTGCTGAAGCAGAGAAACCTCTAAAACCTGCCGGACAGTGGGCCTTGAGGACCGAGTTTGGGGATGCCTGATTTAGACCTAGCAAAGCTATCATATTATGCTGCTTTTGCTAGAACATTGATTTGAATTTCAAAATATTTTTCAAATTTCATTGATTTCTGCATTTATAAAGGTCTGGCAAATCAGGTTTGTTGCTGATATTTTATCATATTAACTACATAATTTCTTTTTTTTTTTTTTTTCAGATATGCTCCACTTATCTGGAACAAACTTCCAGAAAACTGTAAAAGTGCGGAAAGCCTGAGTACCTTTAAATCAAGACTAAAAACACATTTGTTTAAAATTTCCTTCCACTGTTCTAGTTTTTTTTTTCTGCATTTTTTATTTTATTTATTTATTTATTTTTATTATAATTTTTTTTCTACTTGCTTTGATTCTGTTTTAACTTCCTGTATTTTAATCATGTAAAGCACTTTGCATTGTCTTTGTACTGAATTGTGCTCGACAAATAAATTTGCCTTGCATAGCTTTTTCAGTTTGGCGTTAATGGCTGATTTCACTGGTGTTATTTCCTATAAATCAGCTGATATATCTTCATATTTAAAGTCAATTGCTTACTTTTCATGTCTAATCAACACTTTCTTCCAAATTTGTATGAATAGTTGCTTTGAACCATCAAGACACTGTAGAATCTTTAAGCACTGATGGCCAAATGGTAAGGTACAGAAGTTTAAAAGGGCAAAATCAAACAGGAAAGACTTTACTAAGTAGATAGAAATGATAAAATATGAGCTTTGATTGCACACTGTTTGATACATGGCATTTCTGTCTGATATCCAGAGGGTGAAACATGAAATAGTAGCCGGTAGAAAGCATAGGATGAAGGACACACTTGCTGAACCTTTTTTTTTAAAATAATTTTCCATTTTACTAATGGCATGAATTGTGCAGCACTGCAGAAAGTGTGCACCACTGTACCACATCAAAGCATCAGAGAGGAGACAAGGAGGCTTTCTAGCTTCCATCAGGCTCTTCTGCACATGTAAATATTTTATGCAGTCACTCTCATTCAACATCTCACTACTTTTTAGGAGGATGTCGTGTCACTTTATTGAGTTTCATAAAGACGAAGAGCAAGCAATAAAAAATAAAAAACAGAACTTGGATCAAGAGTCCACGGAGCAAAAGGCTCTAAATACCGGCTTTCAACAGAAAGTTAACTAAAATTAAAAAAAGATATTAAAATAACTCAAATTAGCTTTTTAAATGAAATATGGTGACGTCACACACCATTTCTCTGTATTCTCCAGGTTAATGTTTATAAGCTGGGCCTGCTGCCTGTATGTACTACCACTGTATGTACTACCACTTACTGCTTTAAGGTGCATTAGCCCCATTAAATTACTTTATTTATAAAATCTAAATTAAGTAAAAATGATTTATAATTAACTGTGGTTGCATATATCGTTTTTCGGAAAAAGTCATGCGTCCTGCTGTTCTATTTGTATTTTACACTTTGCTTTTGCTGTTTGTTAATAAAGTCCTTCACTTATATCTACAAAAGCAACAGAGGTATGATACTATGAATGTGCACAAGAGATCAACAGGGAAGTTAGCGCCTCCCAACGAAATATGGAAACAAAGAAAAAAGTCCAAGATCCAGCGCGGAGAAAAAAACAAACCACAAAGCGAGTTATGACTCTAGGGATAAAAGTGGAACAGCACTGGGAATATAGTATAAATGGTTTTCACTGAAGCTGCAATTAAAGCTGCCAAGGTGCTCAGATATAGCCCATTTAATAAATATTTGATTAAAGGCATACTATGCAACATTTTTCAGTTAATTTATGTGTTCCATAACGTTTTGGATGATTAAATGAGTCATTTCAGGTCAAACAAAGGTTTTTCTCGGCCGCCCTGGTGGTCTGTAGGGGAAATACCGTACTTGCAATTGCAGGAGCCCTCGGCCCGCACCCACAGGCTCAGAAGTCTTGTGCATCACGAGAGTCGGTTTTGATTTACGGTGAGAACTGCTACAAGCCCCCAGTGAAAGGCATGCTCGTTGCTAGCGCAGTGGCGATATTTGTGCGGTTATCATGGCGGAACCAGCGAGAATTTTCAAACTCGAAAATTGGAACAAAATAGTCACTTCCCTCAGTAGACATGGCGATTCGTTGCGTTCGCCTGTCTGCTAACCTTAAAACTACTGCGCCTGGCTTGACGGAGAAACCAGGAGAACAGCTGAGCATATTTACGACAGTGCACTTTTACTTTCGCCCTCTGGGGGGAGCCTCGCTGGAAAATCAACACCGGTTGCATAGTATACCTTTAAATATTAATACCGATTCTAGTGAGCGATGCTATCCTTAGCTTCTACACTCCAAGTACAAATAGAACACGTTATAAATAGAAAGACTGATTGATTGATTCGTTTGGTTGATGTGTTTTAATTAAAAGTAATTTCATTTGAATGTGCTTGACTGGAGGCATCCATGTCTGTCAAAGAACACTACTGCCACCTACTGGTTTGTGACGTCACGGTGCGCTATCGGCTGTTGATCAAGTCCCAGTGCTGTATCTGGTGTTTGTCACAACGCGCTATTATCCAAGTCATCTTGAAAACATTCTTCTTCCAAATGTTGGCTACATATTACGTGTTTTTTCTCTGGCCAGAAGTTTGATGGCAAATCCTCCCTCTTCAAGTTGGCAATCCAACGACGAACCCGTCCGTGGAGGATCAGGAATCAGAAAGGTGGAATGATAATTGTTTTTTCCCACTTTTACCTGATGTATTCCTACATCCAGCTGCCATGCACGTGGGCATTGTCAGTTTCACTATAGCTCTGGTGAATTTCAATGGTGAAATCCTCTGGAAATCTTCAATAATTGTTGTTGATTGCAGATGTGTCTAGTAGTTCCCATTGATTTTGATTGTAAAGCGGGGAGAATGGCGCTAGGCTGCCAGAAGATGGCAGGAGTGAGGTGGTACCATATTTGGGCAAAAATGGCCGCTCCCAGACTCTGTGATCGCGATGAAAATTAGTATTTTTTATTTTTTTACTGTCGTCTCCCGCTTTATCCGGAACCGTGTCGCGGGGGCAGCAGACTAAGCAGAGACTCCCAGACTTCCCTCTCCGCAGACACCTCCTCCAGCTGTGTTGGGGGAAGCCCTAGGCACTCCCAGGCCAGCCGAGAGACATAGCCTCTCCAGCATGTCCTGGGTCGTCCCCTGGGCCTCCTCCCAGTGGGACATGTCTGGAACACCTCCCGAAGGAGGCGTCCAGGGGGCATCCGAAGAAGATGTCCGAGCCACCTCAACTGACTCCTCTCAATGTGGAGGAGAACCGGCTCTACACTGAGCCTCTCCCGACTGACCGAGCTCCTCACCCCATCTCTAAGGGAGAGCCCAGCCACCCTGCGGAGAAAGCTCATTTCAGCCGCTTGTATCCGGGATCTCGTTCTCGTTTTTTACTGATTAACGCTAAATTCATTGAATCACCGCAAACTTATTAGTTTTAGGTAGAGATAAAGATCCATTGATCATTCTTTTCTGACTGGACTTTTAAAAAAAGAACAAACATCTTTTAAGTAAATAAAAATCTTTAAATCTTGAGATGCAGATTTTTATTTGCAGAAACCAAGAAGTAATCTAGTTTACAAATTGGTATCCTGTAAATTAAAATATTTAACCCTGACATCCGACTTTAACTCCCCCAGAAAATCCCTTCAGTGTCGTCTGACTCAGTCCACATGCTCATGCATCCATTACACAGTCTCCCTTTCCCAGAGGTCTGAGGAGCTGATCCTCCCATTAAAAGGTTAGCTTACCAGACAGATCATAGATGACATCCAGCGATGACGACCACGAGTAGCGCTCCGTTGTCATTTGTCTGATGGGAGGCATCAAAGCCTCCAGCTCATATTCCCCTCGCCTCTTCCAGTATAGAAACATCTTCAAAGAGCTGCTTCTCTTTAAAGTAACGGATATCAGGTGTTCGTTAAAAACATCCCCCTAAAATTGAGCTTTACCTGTAAACGTCCATCCCATCGGACAAAAGGGAAAACCAGACTTCTAAAATTAAAACTTTATCAATTGCCGCCTGCTATAAGATCCTGTAAACTGTCCTCATTCAACATTACCTTATCCAGCTAACACATGCCAATACTTGCTTTAGACATTACCAGTCTGACCTGCTGCTATATTTAAACGAGCAAATTAACTCTCCTATGGCACAAATCCTCTACATCTCCAGGGTAAAAGGAATCACCTTCTTCAGTGCCACCTACAAAGCACTCAATACCCGTCTATGAAGCTTTAGGTCCAGGCCCACTTCCTGTTGATCCTGAAGACCTTTCTAGTTTTCCACTAATCATCCAATGAAGGCCACCCACCGGGCGCTGTCAGGCACCAACTGCTGCCCTCTTTTAATCCATTTAAGCAGGCTATTCCTGACTAAAATTACGCTCGCCGAGCTCCTAAAAGGTGTAGCAATCTTATCTCCAGGAGTGAGCAATGGTGCCTGTCCTGATGCTTTCCTTGAGCCTTGATTTGATCCATGGTAAGGTTTCCTCCAACTGCAGAGCAACTCTTCTGAGAGCCAAGCAGCTCATGTGCGACAAGGAGTAGGGGGGGGTGCTTTCTGCCCACTCCATCGGACAACTGTTGTATTCATGCAGAGGTGAGTTGCATGCTGGGATGGGCAATCTGGACCAGTGGCTTTTGGACTGGGGGACACAAAGATCTCTTTTTGAACGCCCTCCTACATCCAGAGGGCACGTTCTTTATGTTTTGCTCCAACTGTAAATGGCTGACATTTTTCTGCATTGATTAGTGCCTTCGCCCTTTATGGGCCTTGAAAGATTTATTTCCTTCCATGAATGCAGCAGCTCTGTGCAGAGGGAGCTCAGTCATTTCTGTGGAGGTACAATGAACACACTGGTCTCATTGGCCATGAGCCTCAGAAGTTCGGCCATTAAAATGCTCAACTGAGACAATACACTTTGCTTCCCCGATATCTTTGAAGAGCAGCTGAAGGGGTTGAAGCAACATGCAGAGACATTTCCAGTCAAGGCATCATATTTTCCGCCAGTGTAGTTGAAGTGTTCAAGCACTGCTATTATGTGTCTAAAACTGGAGAAGAAATACTGTGAGAACGCGCTGCACCGGCCGAGGGAAAGGAGGGATGTTGTCACACATAGCGACCCACATGTCCAATTTTGGGATAAGAAATTAGAGGGTAGGAACGGGTTGGTTTGCTGCTCAGCTCCGGGGCCCTACAGACATATGGTAATAATTTGAAGCAGCTTTGAGCACGCTGCTTCTCTTTTAATGAAGAGAGCAGTCGTGCAGGAAGAGAACGCTGCTGCAAACACAAGGGCCAATTTCCACCTACTACAGAAACAAAGCGGGAAGCCGAAGGGGCCAAAATAAAAAAATCCTTCCTTTTATCTTCTGTCACAGGATCAGTTTTTAATAAAGGTGCCCTTATAAACATCTGATCAACAGCAGAAAACACCAGGCCTGTTGTGTCAGTAGTACTCACAATGGAAAGCAGTTTGATCAGGTCTTCCTTGAACAATATCTAGATTGTTGAAGGAAGATTAGATTTTTTGTGTGTGTGTGAATACTGAATGGAAAAATATGTTTAACAGGAAGGTTTCTCGGCTTTCAGTTAATTTACGTGCAATTAGAGGGAGAGGGGGTATGAAAAATAAGTTTTACTTCTTTATAACCCTTTTCTACGGAAGAGGATTAGGGCCACTGGAAAAAAAACAAAAAAGTGAACTAATTTTTAAATTTTATTTCAGTTTAGTATGGGGAAAAGTCAGAATTCTGACTTTTTTCCCCGGAATTCTGACTTTTTTTCCCAAAATTCTGACTTTTTTCCCCCCAAATTTTTCCCAGAATTCTAACTTTAATCTGAGAATTCTGACTGAATTCTAGCAATAAAAGACATAATTCTGAGATAAAAGTCAGAATTCTGATATTAAAAAAAAGTCAGAATTCTGACAAAAAAAGTCAGAATTCTGACTTTTTTTCCCATACTAAACTGAAATAAAATTTAAAAATCAGTTAACTTTTTTTTTTTTTCCCCACTGGCCCTAATCCTCTTCTGTACTTTTCAGATAATTTCCATTAAATTGATGTAATTTCTCTGGCTTTATACATTGAAATGTTTATTTGGTGGAGGGTTTTGTTTCCATTTATGTTCAGGTAAATTTATTTAGTTCAAAATTGGTGTTTGGTTTGGTTGATGTTTTCATTCATTAATTATCAATAAAATAGCTATGACATAGAATGTAAACTTAATACGAAGAAGAAAGCAATTTGCTCGCTTCTCCTCATCTAGGAAAAATATTTAAGTTCTTGTCCAGTTTTCTTGCATTAATCATTATGTAATAAAATCAGTTTAACCATTTATTTTGCTGTTAATGAAATATAACGGCTCCTGTCCATCTTACATCCTTTTACAGATGGGGGGATTTCTACAAATCAGTGACTTTTGGGACGATTGTTGGCTCTCTTGAACAAACTTCTTTCAAAAATCTAAAAGCCAAAAGATCATCTTAATTTTAAATGTAGTAAATGATTAAAAAAAGAACCAAATGTAATTGGAGCCATCTGTATTGTACGCTATGGTAACATTACAGTTGGACTAAATAGCTGCCAAAGAGGAATTTGTATAAAGTAATGAATAGTGAATTTGTCCTTTACCGGATTGTATAGAACCATGTTCTCCGAAAAACTCTACATGGTTTTCTAAAAGACAACCCTGTGCACCAAGTCATCTTATCCTTATATTAAATATCATTTCATGTGGCTGATTAGAGTTGTATTCAAAACCTTGGATTATGTTCTACCTCTTTAAAAACAATCATAACTCCTGCAGTAGCCCTAAACATTAACCTGAAATGAGGTCTCAGCTCCTCTACAGCTGCTCTAGGCTCTCAGAGAAGTGTTAAAGCTACAGTGTGTAATTTTCAGCGACATCTAGCGGTCAGACTACAGACCGCAGCAACATGAACATCCCCCCCCCCACCGCTTCTCCCCCCCAATAGTACGGCGAGCGTTACGGGACAAAATTTCTTCTACGACGTCCACATCACCTACCCTCTCAAGTGATGAGGTTTGTTTACATAGATAATTTTACAGATAGTATTTCATTAGTCTGTGTAGGGTATAGATTTCATGTAGACTTAAGATAATAAATATACCCGTTATTTTTTCTACATCGTTGTGACGTCTTGGTGAGCTGCTTTGCATGGTGATATAAACAGACGAAGTAATTGTAGTCATTAGTTTAACAGCGAGATTGTGTTCGCTGGAAGAATATATATCCCCCGTTTACAGAGTCCAAGTCATTTTGGTGGCACGGGGGTTACAACGCGAGGGAGAGGGAGAGGACGAGGGCGAAGGCAGGGAGGCCGTGCAGCTAGGGCCAGGCGAGAGAGGGGAGCCAGCGGGGTGAGAGCAGAGGAGGAAAGGCTTGAAGATCTCCAAAGGAGCCGGAGAGAAGTAACCGAGGTATATATCCAGAAAATTATTTTACAGAAAATTACTGAATCATTACCTGTGAAACGTCAGGGACGTTGCTGAATAAGTATACTGGAGAGTAACAGCATCATCACGCAGCATGTTATTGTTTTAGACAGGTCTGAGCATCCTGTACTCCAAAAACTGCAGTGATATTAGACAATTGTGTGTGTAGGATTAATTACCTGTCCAAGAGAAAACTGGCAACTTGAGCGTCACTTTGAAAACCTTTTTCCTCCATCAGTGACTTCCATCGTGTAAATGCCGTGCCAATGTTGATCCGTGTTTTTTGTCGTTTCTTGTCACGCTTGCGTTTATTCTCGTCGTGTTTCCGCTTCTTAGATGACGGGGGTTCGGTGTCCGCCGCTTTTCGTTGTGATACAGAGTAGGCATGATCCTCCATTCGTCTGATGTTTGGCCACACAGTGCCAAACAGTTTGCAAAGTCACTCACGCCTGCCGCCTTGTTCACCTTTCTTGTTACTGAGGCGCAGTATACCTGCTTCTTCTTCTTCTTTGGTTTCAGGCAGACTAAACGCTTCTCAGGCATAATACTGCCATCTACTGTTCAGTACCGTCTCAGTTAATCTCTCTCAACTTGCCGTAGTTATTTTTGAGCGTCATGGGAGATCTCGCAATCGCTAGTTTGTTGCCTCTGCGCTTGCCGTAGCGCAAAGATGTCAGCCTCCATGGCTGCGAGACCCGCTCCTATGTAATTATAAATAACGAATTCTAAGGCAACGCAAATATTATGGTTAAAAGGCTGAGCTCATAGGTGATGATAAATAACATAGTTATGTATAATATATTAAATTTCTGACTTTATATGCCTGTAATTATTACACACTGTAGCTTTAAGTTCTTACTAATGAGGCTTCCTGTAGGTTTCATTAAACTTTAACTAAAGTGCTCAATCCAAGAAGAAAAGAAATCAATCCTAAACTTGAAGGTTCAAGTGATAATGTAGTCTGGTTTATTTCTGCAAGTTTTTCAAGGTACAGTCGTCGATAGTTAGAGGGCAACATTGATTGATCCTAATGCCAAGATGGTCAGGTAGATAAGAAGTATAGACAGAGTTTAAATAACCGATTTACTTTATGTGTAAAAATAACTCCTTTAAAGACAGACTACTTTTTTTTTTTTTCTTTTGGATATTTTTGCATGAATAAACATGATTTAGGATTATTTTAGTAAAATATCAGATTATGACTCTTAACAATTTTCCATCAACACAAGGAAAGTTTGAACTTTTTACTAGTAGCGCTTCAGATCAAGAGTCACAATAGTGTCTGAAAACAAGGTAGCCATGTAGGCAACAGTGATAAATACTATATATACAGAGGGACTCAAACTGGGGTAGGCTATATACCCTTACTGGCCTTACTGTAATTCCAAGGAGGTCATGGTAGAAACAAACTGAATAAGCGCAATAAGCAAACAAGTATTGATAGCTATATTGAATTCTGTTCAGCATTAAAAATGTTATTCTGATTATGTAATGGGACATTACATAATCTGTATATAATTCTCATATCTACTAATTTTATGATACATGTCATTTATTTATTAGGAACCCTTGATTTAAAGGACATTGTAATCTATTTTATTTGAGAAAAGGTTGTTTGGGAAAAAACTAGGGCTGTCTGTTTTAAAGCGCTATTAACGCGTTAACTGCTTTAGACTATAGCGCCGACATTTTTTTTTAGGCACGTTAATCGCACTTCAAAACAAACGCACCGTGCGCTTTTGTTCTTTATTTTTCCGCAGCGCTCGCTGTACTGTTTGTTTTAACCTCGGCGCTTTCCGTAGCTTCAGGAACGCTAAGTTTTGGGAGAGACCGCAGCATAACTGACCCGTGCTTTGAATGAGCAAAAATGGCCAGCAGACAAGGTATCCTGAATGATAAGTTTTATTTTAAAGTTATCCCAGAAGGTTGTCTTGACAAAACCTGAGTCCTATGTCTATGTTGTCCAGAAGAAACGAGCGTCTCACTGGCTTAGTGCCAACAAGACAAAGAAATAAATTAAGT